GCGTGCAATAGAAATTTTTTCGTCGAGTGCCTTCGTTTCTCGCGAACTGTCGCTATGCCAAGAGCGGAAAAGGGTAATAGGCCAAGCAACAGGGATTTTTTCATGACAAAAATACTACCTGGAAACCGAGAGTACAATCGTGTGCAGATAAGTTGAGACATCATTGGTGTTATGTTTTGGACACGCAACTCCTGTCACCCTATTTGTTATAAACATTTTAAACGAAAAAAAAGGCATTTTTTTTAGTTTTCTGTTAATAACTCTGCGAATAATGTAGCGATGTTAATGATATAGGTACACAAAATGTAGGTAAAACAATTACGAACAAAACTAGACCTCGAGCGACAAAATCGGATAATTAGGAACCGAGGAAAACCCGGAAAAGTGGCGAAATTTAACATTTATTTAAAAATTCATATCTCCGTCACTTTTTATTTGTAGGACTGAGTCTTTGCGAAAATGTAGTGTTATATATGTACTTCATGTGTGCCAAAAGCTGACGCTGTGAAGTAAATAGTTTTCATGTAATCGTAATTTCAGTTTTTCTAAGCGATATTTTTCATCATCTCTCCTTGCGACAGTGATTTTTTCATCTTAAATTTGAAAACGGTTTTAAAAAATGCAGATTCCACCCAACAAAACGTATATTCTAGTTTTTCACTTAAATTTTTGCAAGTGTGTGATAAATGCCGGAAAGTCGACTAAAAACGGCTGAGCGCACGGAAACGTTCGAGTGGTGGGGGGAGCAGCAGCCGAGGAGAGGCACACATATATAGTAATAGAGGCGCGCTGCGCCCTCTTATAATTTTTCCATCTCAATATCTCTGCAACCATAAAGTTATCTTAACAATTTTTTTTTATTTCGGATCTACTGAACTCCGGGAAATCAAATATTTATTTAGAATTCGTAAATAATAAAAGGCTAAGCATAAATTGTTGAAATAAAAAAAAAATTTAACTTAATTTTATTGGTAAAGAAATAAATGATTGTGAAAATATGCAGCAAAAAAGTATAAGAGAGAGGGAGAAATAGTATTTCCATTGGAAGAGAGAAAGAGACAGAGAGAGAGAGACAGAGAAAGAGAGAAGGAGAGAGATAGATGAAAAGAAAAGGGGAAAGGGGGCTGGACCAAAATCCAGCTTCGTAAACATAATGACAACATTTATTTTGAAGAACATCGGAAAGTAATTAATTTATTGATTATTTATAAAGTCTAAATAAATAAATTCTAAATATAAAATTCTAAATAAATAAAAAATTCTAATAAATTTTTTTTATTTCGGATCTACTGAACTCCGGGAAATCAATTATTTATTTAGAATTTATAAATAATCAATAAATTAATTACTTTCCGATGTTCTTCAAAATAAATGTTGTCATTATGTTTACGAAGCTGGATTTTGGTCCAGCCCCCTTTCCCTTTTCTTTTCATCTATCTCTCTCCTTCTCTCTTCTCTCTGTCTCTCTCTCTCTGTCTCTTTCTCTCTTCCAATGGAATACTATTTCTCCCTCTCTCTTATACTTTTTCTCTGCATATTTTCACAATCATTTATTTCTTTACCAATAAAATTAAGTTAAATTTTTTTTTAATTTCAACAATTTATGCTTAGCCTTTTATTATTTACGAATTCTAAATAAATATTTGATTTCCCGGAGTTCAGTAGATCCGAAATAAAAAAAAATTGTTAAGATAACATTTATGGTTGCAGAGATATTGAGATGGAAAAATTATAAGAGGGCGCAGCGCGCCTCTATTACTATATATGTGTGCCTCTCCTCGGCTGCTGCTCCCCCCCACCACTCGAACGTTTCCCGTGCGCTCAGCCCGTTTTTAGTTGACTTTCCCGGCATTTATCACACACTTGCAAAAATTTAAGTGAAAAACTAGAATATACGTTTTGTTGGGTGGAATCTGCATTTTTTAAAACCGTTTTCAAATTTAAGATGAAAAAAATCACTGTCGCAAGGAGAGATGATGAAAAATATCGCTTAGAAAAAACTGAAATTACGATTACATGAAAACTATTTACTTCACAGCGTCAGCTTTTGGCACACATGAAGTACATATATAACACTACATTTTCGCAAAGACTCAGTCCTACAAAATAAAAAGTGACGGAGATATGAATTTTTAAATAAATGTTAATTTCGCCACTTTTCCGGGTTTTCCTCGGTTCCTAATTATCCGATTTTGTCGCTCGAGGTCTAGTTTGTTCGTAATTGTTTTTACCTACATTTTGTGTACCTATATCATTAACATCGCTACATTATTCGCAGAGTTATTAACAAAAAACTAAAAAAAATGCCTTTTTTTCGTTTAAAATGTTTATAACAAATAGGGTGACAGGAGTTGCGTGTCCAAAACATAACACCAATGATGTCTCAACTTATCTGCACACGATTGTACACTCGGTTTCCAGGTAGTATTTTTGTCACGAAATCACTCTTTTCAAGCCCTGTTGCTTGGCCTATAAACCGACGCTGGTCGCGTTTCGACGATGCAAAAGCTTCGTTGACTTTCCCAGCTCGCGGCAGCTCATCGAGACAGCAGCAGCAGCAGCAGCAGCAGCAGCAGCAGCAGCAGCAAGCAGCGCAGCAGCGGCATCCAGCCAAGAGGCATGCAGCAGGACCTCGGTGACGAAGGCGGACGACGTGCTGCGTCGCGCGAGCTCGTGGCTGTGGAGTCGTCGCGACGGGGAGGCCGGCTGGGCCAACGACACCCACCGCGTACTGCTCGCGTTGAGGCTCTCCAATCTGTCCAAGGAGGATAACGTGCCACCCCCCGGCCAACCTGCAGATGCAGCTCAGCACCAAGCAGATGGAACTTGAGATCGTTTTGCTGCTTTGGAGGTGATATATATGGCCTTTTCTGTATTCGTCCCCTACCCCCTCCTGCACCCTTCCGCGGAGCTTCCGATGCTCGTGCTTATACACTTAAAACTACGGACTTTCCTGGGATATACGAAAAGCTGCGCTTCGTTAAAAAAGTTACGATCACTCGCCGGCCGATCGTTTCTCGCGCCCTTACTCCCCAACGAAACGACGTCCAATGAAATTGCAGAACGACAAGAGGGCAGATGATCAGCGCAGCACACGCCGTAATTCCGATCGCTACCCTATAAATTTCAAACTGCATGAAAGATTGACGCGAGAAAGCGACGGGATCTAGAATTACGCGAATGGTGTAGAGCATCAGCCTCCTTCGAATATTGGAAAATTGAGCGTAGATGCGCCGCCCGTGGAACAGTCGTAAAAAATTAGACGCGTTGTGGTGCCAGAAGAGCCGAGACAGAAGTCTAATGAGGCCCATGGTATTCCGGGGAGAAGGGGGATTTTCGAGCGCTCTTCACGCAACAATGCGAGAGAATCACGACATTGCAGATTGCCAGCTTGTTCTGATTTTGGATATTGTTGTGCGATAGCCGCGAACTTTCCTTCCGACGAGGCTACAAGGCAGCATTGCCGCCTGAATTGTGCATTGTATGCGCGGACGAGGGTAAGAACGGGACGAATTTCATCGTTATTAAAGCTTACGGGTATATCCTTCCCTCGTCCCTCTTCTCTCTCCTATTCGCCGTTACAAAGATCCCTCGGGCACGCAACGGCATCTCGGGCTCGCGGCTCAAGCGGTGAGGAGAAACGACCGTTTGACCTTCCGAGGGAACCGAACCGAGCGGAAACCTTACCTGATCGCAGACACCGCGAGATGGGCAGCTCCCCGACGAAGTTGGCGCGCTACGCTCTGGCGCTGAACGCCATGTGCATGGATCCGAGGCAATTCCATGGCCACGACCTGATAGGCGCGCTGCAGCATCACGAGCCGCCCACGGACTACGAGTTCGCCCTCACGGCTCTGGCGGCTTGCAACGCACAGGCACACGTGAGGAAGAGGCAGATGAGGCGACTGCTCGACATCGCGCACACCGCACATGATCACACCATTGGTAAGTGCGCTCGTGCCTCCAGTGCCAACCGACCACTCGTTTGCATCAATTCTGATTCTATACGCTCAAGATTTTTTTTTCAGCAGATAATAAGTTTATTGCGCTATTTGGGGGGGGGGGGGGCAATGAAAGCGATTAATAAGCCAAATTGATTTCTCATTTCGTGCGGAGATAACAAAGAAATGAATTCGGGGCTGATACTGATACAAGTAAATCTAATGCAAATCCGAGTCGTTAAAATATAAACGTGAATTAATCCGTCGAACTGTGTTTTTTAATTCGGTTGTCGGTAAGAAAAGAGCTTAATTTGACTTGTCTCTCTTCTCTCGCATCAGCGAGGTACAAGAATTCATAAATAGTTCCAATTTGCTGGAATGCTGAAGGCGTCCGCTGGCATCGACTTAAGCTCGCGAAAAAGTTAAAGCATCTTAATTTAGCGCTAAATATGATTATTCACGAGGCGCTCTCCTTCTTTCCAGGAGTTCAAGGGCTTATTATGCAAATTCATTGAAAACTTTGTTGCCCATTGACGATTCGCCCATTCGCGCGTGAATCATTCGACCGCCGCGAGCAGTCCGAGGTGAACTCTGCATTAAAATAAAATAAAAAGTACAAACATGAGAGATCGAGGCTGCGGAGTAAATCGAGGGCTCGAGAAGAGCGCCATCAAAACAAATGAATATCCGACGTCGAGATGCATTGCATAATTCAAGGGACAAGCAGGAAAACCGTGCTCCCGTTACCGAAATTCATTCTGTCCCGCAGAGACTCTAGCTATGAGCATAATGACGCTGCGCTGCATAGCCCAAGACCACCGCCACCGCTACCCGCCTCACTTCGTGCGCAAGCCGTCCGTTAGCCTGGCGCAGCGTCAGCGTCGCGACGGCGGCTTCGGCGATCTGCGCGCGACGGCTCTGGCCCTGCAGGCTCTGGAGGAGGTCGAGAACGAGTCGCTGGACAATTGGAATCGCACTTCCGCGCTGCTCTGGCTGGCCGACCGACAGAGGCCCGACGGCTCGTTCGACGGCGATCTGCAAATCACTGCCGATGTTGTTATGTGTCTGGCGCCTCGGGGGATCGCCAGTATCAGGACGCTGGACTGCGGGCAAGGACTGACCGACAGCTCGCCACCGAGGAGCGCCAGCGTCAATGGTACGGATACGTCCGGCTATTTTCCTCGACGTCCAGGCGAAACCTAAACGAGACGGGATGCTTTTTGCGCGCGATAAAGCCGGTTGTCAATTAAGAAAACGAGGGCGTCGATAAAAAAAGATGAACGCTCGCTTTGACGTTCTAACGGGCAAAAGGTAGTCTTGACGAAAACGCACGCGGTGGTTCGCAGTGGGGGAGCCGTCGAGCACGTTGTTGCGCAGCGCTACGACGCAAGCACCGGTGCCGACGAGGCAACCAGCGACAACGACGACAACGACGACGGCAATGCCGAGCAGCACCACGATCGGCACCCGCAGCGGTAGCGCGTCGGCGGGTGCGGCAGAGGACGACGAGGACGAGGAGGAATTGTCGAGCTCGATAATAATTGGGAAGCCGCAAGCGCCGCTTGTCAACGTCACTTACACGCTGTGGGTCGGCAGCGACGTCGACGAGATCTACAATCTGACGCTGAGCGCGCCCAAAAACGAGACCTTCTACGAAGTCATGGTGCTAGCTGCCCAACGATCGCCCAATTTCCAATTCTCCGCTTACGAGTGGCCTAACGGGCATTACGTTCACACGCTTGGCGGCCACAAGGAGGAACCTATGTCTTATCATTATTGGCTGCTTTACAAGCTGCCTGCGCCGCCCGAGCCTAATTCACCGCCTGGCAATCAGCTTGTCGCTCCTGGAGGTGACAGACTTTTCTTATTTTTTTCATGATTGCGAAAATTATTTATCGACGATGTTCTTCATTTAAGCGACATCTTCTGGACTTGCTGTTTTTAGTACGGCATAATTATTATCTATTTCGCTTGCTATTTCGAGAAAAAAGTTTTAGTCTCCATAATTATTTTTGCTGTGATTTCGCCTGTAAAGACCTTCATTGTAAGGAGACATTCTTTTTATTCCAGGCGTTGACGATCTGCAGATCAGCAATGGCGAACATTATCTCTTCTGGTACAAAAAGCTCTAAAAGGTTCGATGTAAAAAAAGTACACATAAGGAATATATAAATGCCGCGGACGCGTGTCAGCTGGATAAAAAATCATTAAGCTAAGCGAAAATAAATATATATTGAAAAAATTAACGAAGAGTGAGACGGAACGAAGATAATAAATATAAAAAATAAAAAAAAAAACAAGGAGTGAAGGAATGATTAGTCAACGAGTGCGCGAGGAAAAAAAGATATATATATATATATATATATACATATATACATACATATGCTGAAATAGTACACAATATATATATATATACATATGTATATATATACACACATATTCTATATTATTATACCAATGGCAATTTAGAGACTGCAAGTCTAACGTAAAAATATATCAAGAAAAACATTTTAACGGTGAGATATGAAGATATTATACAATAAATGACGCTTGCACGCGACGTTTCAAAGGCAGTGCGAGGTACATACATATGATCGTGTAATTTATATCAAAAAAATTGATTATACATCGTACGTATAGATAATATCGTTATATTGTATTGTAAGCTATATTACAAAGGCATATGACATTTTTTATGAAGAACTGCAATGCACAACCGTTTATTGTAAAACTTATTATGATACCGACGTATTTATTGTGATTTCATGGATTAAACTAATTTAATAAAATACAATGCGTCCATATTGAAAATATTTTGGCTTTCAATGGGCACACTTTCCCTTTCTTCGGTAATAACTGCGAGCTTCATCCTCATCCTTGAAACTTTTAGTCGCAGTCTAATTCTGCGTCTCCTTACGTTCAAGCTGAATATCGGCAAGAGATATTTCAATATAACACTTGGGGATCCTCATTTCTACCGATAGCCGTACTTGACTGCAGATAAGAGCAGCCAGGATAACTCACAAGCTTTAGTGGCTGCTCTCGATGTTTAAGGAATCGGCTTTACCTACCCGATAGTTACCGGCTGGAGCTTACACTTGGCGGCTATTGATTGTTTCGCAGTCCGCGGATAAGCGAAGCGTCGCTCGAGAATTTGGCTCGACCCAAGGGATGTCGTTAGTATTCCATCGAGCTCTCTCTCTCTCTCTCTCTCTCGCAGCTCATTTCATCCGAACTTCTTTCTCTTAGTTTCTATTTTTCAACGATTCGTGATTCGTGTAGTAAAATGACACCAAACAATTGTGAAAGATTCAGACAAGTTAATCCAATTATCCGAATGTTCATCGAGTCGCGATGACTACGCGACAGTTGCTTTTTGTTCTCCAATCGACTAACAAAGCCTCCTCGATATTATCAGGTTCACAAAGCTGGTCTCGCTATCAATGATTGTATCTCTGTCTCTATTTTATATCGGACTCTGATAGTTCCTTGACCAAAGTCTTATAAATGCGAGTTCATATTGAACTGAAATATTTGTATTCATGATCTGTGCAATCATTTGTATTTTATATTTTGCCTCATGGCAAACGAAGGAATATCTATCTATCTATCTGTCTGTGGCGTTGCACGCAAAGAGCTATAAAGCTATTGTCACTCCAATGGGAGTCATCCGAGAGACATTAACACCCACTCCTAGCGCAGAGAACAAATAATACGACAGTCGCCTCTCTAACGAGACAGCCGTGCCGCAAGAAAAAAAAAAACAAAAAAAAAGAGGAGAGCATGATCGTTGAGTACTCGATTATCCGTGAACGAAATAATGACTGCAAAAAACTGATCACGTAACCACATGTCCATTCAACTAGATCGCATTGCGAGGAGTATCGTGATGGGGGCGGGGGGAGAATAGTACTAGTGCAGAAAAAAAAATGAAAACAGAGTCGGCGCGCGCCCTCTCTCTCTCTCTCTCTCTCTCTCTCGCCCCCCTTTTCGTGTAACAGGTGGTTTTAACAGCTATAAAGCAGCTTGCGTGGCCTGAAACTTGAAAGGACGCGCTATTCTCTCCCCCTTTCAAACGAAACGAGAACGAGGAGGGGGTCGTGTATCACAAGAGGGTGGCCCTCTCTCTCTCTCTCTCGCTCTCTCTCTCTTTGAGGCAACGCGATGCGCGAGACCCTTTTCTTTTAATTCCAAATGTTCACGAGTGCGCGCGGCTTTTTTTTTTCTAATTGTTCGCGCTCCGATGGGTTTCAGTCTTATCACGAGTGGCGCGACTTCTCTCTATCTCTCTCTGCTATTTTCTTTTTGTGCTACACAGCGTAGCCCGCGGAAACGAAGACTCCTCGCCGCGAGATGACGTCTGAACGCGAGCTTGCGGAAATTAAAATTATTAGCCTTTGACGCACCTTGCTCATCGAAATGGAAAAACCCGACGTTCCAAATTGATTTACGATTGCCGGCTGTTGCGTTCGTGATCCTGCCGTCCATTGTTTTTCACGCCTCAGCGCTGGAGAAAGTTCGGCTCCCGCGGCCTTGAAGCGTCGAGGCGCGAGTCGCGACGGTGCGCTTTCGGCCGAGTCGCGAAATCAAACCGCGGGCGTTCATTCGCCGATAAATCTCCGAGCTCTTTCTCGTCTGCCACAGACTCGAGCACGAGAACTCAACTGAAAAAACTCGAAGGGAAAAAGAGCAATCGTATCGAGCTTATCGAGAATCGAGGAAGATAAAACAAAAAAACAAACAAAAAAAAATATAGGAGAAAAAAACGAAAGAAAAGGGTGGCCGCGAAAAAGCCGAACGGACACACGGCATCTGTCGCCGCGCCGCTGGCAAAAGCCAGCAGGAGAGAAAAGAGAGGCGCTTTACGGGCAATTTACATTAATGAAAGATTTATGAGATGCGCGCGCTCTTCGGCTATACGGCCTCAGCCGCGCCGGGGGCTCTCCGCTCGCGCGCGAATTACGCATCGTCACGATCTTTAATAATTGACGGGACACGCCGAGGGATTTTCGCTTATGCCCGTGCCGAAAAACGGAGCGGGGGGGGGGGGGGGGGCAGGCGACGCGCTGCGTGATCGGGTGCGTCGCGTTAAGATTCGCGCGAGAGTGCGCGTACGTGCGACTGGCATCGTGTTTCGTGGGGCGGGCCTTCATCCGGTTTGGCTTACAATTAGAGGACGCCGCGAAAAGTTCGGGATTTCTTTGGTCGCATGCTGCGCGGCGTCGCGTCGCCGCAGGCTCGCGGATAACCCGCGAGAGGAATAAATTGCGAGCTCAAGCACGTCCCCGTCATCAGGCGTAATCGAGCGCGTTACACCCTTAATTTCGTACGCCTCGTAAAATAATTCGCGGCGCTAGCGGCGTGAAATCGCCGGTGTCGCGTGCGGAGATGCGCCGGCTTCTGCGTCTCCTCGTCGCAAATTACGTCGCACCTGCAGCTCGTCGCGACGACGCGAGATGATTACAAAGCGCTTGCGAATTTTCGACGGGATTTTGGCGCGTCTTTTCACGAGCGATTCAAGGGCTATTTAACGGCCAACGAGATCTAAAGAGTGCTGACACACGTGCTTCTCTTCGGAGCAACGGTACACGGTACTTACATGCTCTTTGCATTCTTTATTATGCTCGAGTAGCTTTGGATTTTTCAAAAAATTATACGGTGCAGCGCTCGGTTTTTGGAAACGTCGACGGGCGCAGATGAATCGGAACGACCTTGTTGCAACGGTTACGTTTGAAAATTAGCAGTTGTTGGATTCGCGTTTGTTTCCTAACTTTTGGCGCACTAAGACGTTCTTAGCGTAATCAGTTCATCAAGTTTGCCGAAAGTGCCGAATGAAAATCTTAATTACTAAGGGTGCCAAACAAAGGCCAAAGAGACAAGTCACCGCTTTAGCTCCTTACGTAATCATCAGTCCCTTAATCTTAATCCTCTCAGTCGCAGTTCGTCGATTAGAACATCTCGAATCGAGGAGGGAACAGATGCGTCGCGATCAAAGACAGCACGGATTCTACGATTCCGACTCATGCTCCATTGGTTTACTTAAAAAATGGAAAGCCACGTCCTCCTGAAAAATAAAAATTTTCATCGTGTCCTAATCCACCCCAGATAGGAAAAAATTCTTTAAACGAGATTCCATTCAGCGAGTGATTAGAAGATCTGTCTCACCCTCCGTCGATTCTGTACACAGTACGTTCCTGTTTTTTTTTCTTTCGGTTGAGCTTCAATATTTGCAAACCTTGTGAAAGAGGAACTCGCTCGAGGATTACAATATTTAATTGCGTTTGCGTCGATTTTTTTCCTCGCGCAGGGGTTTCGTCTCTTGTTTAATTGGATTTTTCAGCGCGGTGGTTATCGCTCCCTGGATGATTCTGAGATTGTCGGGAAGTTCGTTATGTCGTCTATAAGTTGCGTTGCGTTGCTTAAAAGACAAAGTCTATCGCTCATTAAGTTTTATCAACTTTTCACATTTCCATTTCTCACCGAATAAATTCGAATTCAATGATTTCCGTTTAATTTTTTCACGAGACTGGAAGAGACAAGTTACCGCTTATTCGAAAAAAAAGATACACGACTCAGCAAGTTTAGCCCCTCACCCCGCAAGACAGAGACAAAAAAAAGTCCGGGAGAGAGGTAGTCACGTCCCTTAGGCGGTGGCAAGTTAATGGCCATTTAAAAATGCGGCCCGTCGTAATCAGGGTGAATTGGGCCTCGAGCGCCCTGTGATCTTTAACGCTAATCAACGAGCGTCGCGCGACAATTATTACTCTCCTCGATCCTTCACTCCTCTCTCGTTTTTTTTTTCTTACCTTTTTCGGTATCGCGTGGCCCGTCAGCTATGCTTTAAGCAGATCCTCGTTACGCTCAGCGAGATTGCTTTTATTATTTTCCACTTTCTTTTAAATGCACGTTTGATTACTGGATTTCACGTTACGTCAGGCGTGTGATGTGTGTGTCGAAGGAACTTTTTCCCTTGTACGGAATCTTCTGCTCGTGATCCAATGGTTTTCCAAGTCAACTCATCAATCAAGTTTGCGGCTACCTAATCTCGCGCAAAACTACACTCCAAATGCATTCCGTTCAATCTATTTCGACCGACTACTACGTTTATACATTGTTACTTTATATTTGGGATCGCGTCACGAAATAAAATTTTGGATTGAAAAGTTAATTTGTAAACTCCGTCATCGATTCTTATTTCGGCAACAGGTAGCTCGGTAATTAAACCTTGAATTAATTTTGGAATAAGCTGCTTGAAAAATACCGTTCTTCTATTGAAAAAAATGGGCAACAAAGCATGCCGCTCGTAATCCTATAAAAAATAACGTTTTCGTTTGAATAATAGAGCCCAAATTACAACGACAAAATAAACCGCTAAAAATTCGTCAACTTTTCTTTCGCGCCAAATCCATTATCTTCTCTGCCAAAAAGCCAAACTCCATATTCGGGGGGAGGAAAAAAAAAGAGGAGAATCGCAATCCGTCGTGAAAAGTTTGACGGGCGTCACGGTTGAAAAACTCAATACCACGCGCTGCTTTTCCGCGCCACGAAATTCCGAGGGCAGGTGCATCTCCGTCGCACGAGGTGACAATTAAGCATATAGGCCTCCTCTCGTCCGACATGCTTACCACGCCCATGCAATGGCCCTATCAATTATCGCCGGCCTGTAATCATTTGCTCCGAAAAACAGAGCGCGCGTGCCTCGTTACGACACCCCTTCTTTTTTCTCGATACTTAGCGTTGCCTCTTTTTCGATATGATTGCGGGGGGTAGGTGTTCGTAGTTATAATGAGGCTTTTTTTCTCTGCAATTTCATATCGAGGAGGTTGTTACGAAGTTGGGATCATTCGCGTATGATTTATACTCTTGCGAGTGGAGTAGTTTATTTCACTCACGATTACGGCGGTGATAAAGGACGCACAAAAAATCAAAGCCGGTTTTATTTTAACAACGACCCGAAGATTAGCTATAGAAGATAACAAGTCTAAATTATTCTCACGACTGTTGACTGATTAGCTGTGTTATAATAAATGAATTAATCAAAGAAAGATGTGCAGTGATAAACGTCGATCGCCGCACCTGCGAATACATGAATATAAGCAAGACATTTGAATAAACAAAAGACGCGAGGTAAGGAAATATAAGTGTTGGATAATAAATAAGACAAATATTTGCATAGTTCAATATTTGCGTGTATTTTTCACTGCTTCACTAAGTACATTGAATTATGGAGACCAGATTTTGTAATATATTTAGCAATTACAGACAACAATTAAAACGCTCGGAATCACAAAGTTAAGTTTTGCTTTCTTTCGTCCTAAAACATCTAAATCAAGTTTTGCTCTTTTCTAATAGCTAACGCTCTTCAATCACACTCTCTCCTATATCATTTGCATCTATATATATATATAAATTCGAATATACATATTACATATCGAGGACAATAATTGAAAACAGTTTATTTATTCATTCATTCGTCGACTTTTTTTTACACCTAGATAACGTTTGAAATAAATCTATACAATAATATAATCTGTGTGTGACTATTTACACATGTATACGTGTGTGTGAGTGTGTGTGTGTGCGCGTGTGCGTGGTGTGTAAGTTTATGCGTTCGTGCCTGCAGTGGGGGAAAATCGGCTATTCTCTACGCACGAATACGCCTGTTGTTTCTAATACTCATGGGAAGTTCATTCGAGAGAAGGATGAAGTTCGCTCGTCTCGCGCAAACCTTTTGTTTATTACAGAGTTTACATACGTACAGCCTTTGTTTGCGTTTACTCGTTGGGCGCTCGCGACCGCTCGGGCATTCGAGTTGCGCGCGCGGAGAAGTAGTGTCTCCTGTCGAGTCGTCCGGCCAACGCCGAGGAATCATCATCACTCTGCGACGGCAGCGTGAGCTTGCGACTCGGTATAAAGGAAAGGGGGGGAGAGTTGGGGGAAATGCGCTGGGACTGGTGCCGAGGAAGACCGGCAATTCCTACTTACTTCTCGTTGCTCTTTGGACGGCTGTCGCCGTCATCGTAGCAGCGGCGTTCACCGAAACCAGACCCGCGATTACAGAAGCATAATCGTAACGACGACGCGAGAGGGGAACAAGAATTTACCACGGCCTCCACATGCCCTCCTCATCCTGTTGCTGCTGATGCTGCTGATGCTTGGCCTGTTGCTCCAAGCTCTCTGCCGAGACCATGTCGGCCGTGGACAATTCCTGCTTGGGCGGCTTCTCGTCCAGTGGCGACTGCTCGACCAACGGCGACGACGACTCGCCGCGCTTCTCCGTGTCCCCGTGCTTTTGCTGGGCGGCGTATCTCGCGGCTGCAGCCTTCAGCTTCTTCGCACTGCTCGTAGTGAAGTCTAACGGCTGCTCCGACGCCAGCTCCATCCTCGGACTCTTGCTGGGTTTCAGCTGATCCACCGGCGGCCAGTCGGCCGGCAAATCGCTATCCATTAGCGGCCTCTTCATCAGCTTGTCCGTAGCTTTCAGCAGCGACATGTTGGTCGTGGCCCAAATGGCGGCGGGCGGGTTCGGCCCGATGTTGATGCCGTTGGCTGCCGCCGCGGCAGCCAATTGGACGTAGTGACTCGGCAGCAGGAAGACCACTTGTCCGTCCGGTAGTCGCGACGGGATGACCTGTAAAGCAAGAGCACGCTCGATAAATGCCCGGGGGGGGGGGGGGGGTTTCGACGTCCCCGTCCTCTCACCTGCACGACCGACAGCATGTTCGGATTGGCTTGAGCGACACCCGTCGGGTCGATCCCGGGCATCCCGGCCACCACGCCGGGGTGCAAATGACCGAAGGCCGAGGTTGGCCTGCTGCTGTTGTTGTTCTCGTCGCCGGGGGCCGTGCTGCTGTCCGCCCTCGCCGCCTCTACCAGCTCGGGTATTTCCTGCTTGATCATCGCCGCGCCCAACGCGGCGCTGCAGTGGGCCGCTGCGGCCGCCGCCGCCGCGACTTGTTGGTGCTGCTGCTCGAGCACCGAGACTGGCGAGCTCGGCCCGAGTACTCGATCTGTTACGCTGCCTGGACTCGAGCCTAAACCTGAGTCTGGCCGGGATCCCAGATCCAAGTCTAACTCTGAGACGCAGCTGTCCAAGTGGCGGAGTAGACGCTGCTTGAATGCTGGATCGAGTGGCGTTGTGTTGCCGGTTATTATGTCGGGTGCGTCGAGGTAACGGCTTACCTGGAATTCAACGTGAGAGGTGGCGTTCTGTTATTACTTTGAGCTCGTGCCGTTTCATTTTCTTAGTTATCAATGCTTTTCAGAAAAGACGTTCAGCCTTTGACATGCCTTCGTTCGGCTGAGGTAAAGCTAACTCGAGCGCAATATGCAAATTCATAGCCGCGACAGTGCGTCGCAAAACCAACGGCAATCGTAAACAAAGCTCCAACGAGCAGACCGTGGTTTTGGAAAAAAGAAGAAGAAAAAAAAGAATTGGCCAGCGACTAATTGGCATCGTCGACGGCGGCAAACGAACGGAAAACCGCGCGAGAGAGAAGCGAGCTGCAATATAAAGAATACACGAGGCAGCCGTCGGGGCATCGAAATTTCATCGTGACGCGCGCATAATGTAGCTTCCGTGCGTCACGTTCGCGCGGTGCGAGTGTGTGTCTGGCGGCGACGGCGTATTTTCTCACGAGCTCTCTGTGCTACTTTGCCTTTTGTTATTTTTTTTTTTTTTTTTTTCATCTTTTTTTGTTTTTCTGTTGTTTCAAGTGCCGGCCAGGAAACTTTATCGACGCGCGTGCTATATGTTGTTAAAAATGACGATTGACGGATTTCCGGATAGTAGGTTTTTTTTTCGGATGATGGATTCCAGTGTGACGTATACTGATACGTGAAAGATGCTTTTAAAAAAAATGAAGTGTTTCGCTGCACGTCCTGCCATAAACTAGAGTCAATGTAACCAGTTGAACGTAACGAAGTTCGATTTTGAGAATTGTCGGTCGAGTACGTTACAGCAACGAATGCAATTAAGAATTAAGCTCAAGGATCGAAGCTTCTGAAATAATTTCGAACAATTTCCACGTTAGCGGCATAAGCATTCGTCCATTTGTGAATCCGAACGCAGTGGTCACGTTCGACAAAGCGCCATTAATAAACTCATCAAGGATATATGGTAGTCTACTTTGCATCGGCCATAATCCACGTAGCTGTCAGTGAACCCAGAGCACGCCTCGCGTATACGGCGCGCCCGAAAATTCCAACGCGTCGCGCAGAAAAAAAAAGCGAGGGAGAGAGAGAGAGCGAACGAAGGAAGGCATCGGGCAGGCAGACGTACACACAGACACGTCCACCCACACAGCAAGTGTCGGCGGCGGGCGTCCTCGTCTGTCTGCACTTGGCTTGCTCCGTCCGCGTTTTCCCTTTCCCCGCTCTCCGCTCGACGGCGGCGGCGGCGGCGGCAGCGGCGACGGCGGCGACGATCGAACGAGCAGCGGCGCGCCATGTATATTTATACGAGAGGCGCGCTCGCTCGCACGCGACGGGGATTTTTGGCGTGCGACCGAGTTCGCGCCGACTGCGATTAATGACGCCACCGCGGGCGGCGAGCAGGTAGACGCGGCTTTTTCTTCTTCTATTTCCTTTTCTCTCTTCTTTCCGCCGTTGGCTTTCGAAGCGCATGCGAGATAACAGCTAACGGAAGAGCGATGACGACGGGGCTGAGCTCGAGCAATTTTTCGAGGCGAAAAGGCGCAACGACGAGCGATCGATTAGCGAGAAAACTGGCCCCTACCGACGGATCTCTCCGCGTTGCGAGGCGCGCGTGCTCGAGCAATAAAAACAAAGCGGAGCGTAATCAAGAGAAAGAGAGAGAGAGAGAGAGAGAGAGACACCGACGATTAGTCAACCAGCTGCGTGCGACGCGCGGTAATCGTTATCGGGACCGAACTTTTACAACTGGTACCGCCGACGAAAAGGAGTTCCGTTTGTTGTCTCCTGCGAACGCGAACGAAGCTGTACGCACACCGCAATCCCGTCGTTGGTAAAACCCATCCATCGATTGAAAAACACATGGAAAAAAGAAAAGAATAGCCGCGTAAAAAAAATCTTCTCCCCCTCCCTGCGCGTCGTATCGATCGAAGCAATCGTCACGCGCCGCGCATGTCATCGTGACAGATAAGACACGCCAGATAGAAAGAGAAAGAGAGAGAGAGAGAGAGAGAGGAAGAGCGCGCGCGCTTTCACACGGTCTGTAATATTTATTCGAGAGAGAAGTCGAAAACCTCGCGCGCCGTGCCGCCGCGTTAAATCGAGCGACGCGCGGCGCGGCGCGAGGCAGCTCCGATAAAGCGTGCCACCGGCGCTGATTCACGGCCTCAAGAGGCGCGCAGTCGCTGCCAATTTTCTTTTTTAGTCGCGCGACGTCGGCGCTCTCTCGCCGAAGCGCGTGCCTTTCGTCGGCGGGATTTCTCGACCTTTTGGTAATTCGATAGCGAATGGAATCTCACGGCCTGAGTAGAGCATGTGCGGTCAGACGCAGACCGCTCGAGTGCTTTCAGGTGCACGACAGCGAGGACAAAGTAATACCGAACGATTTGTCAGCGAGTAATTGTTATAAGCGTATCGGTAAAAATGGTAAAAAAGAAGTGAAAACTGCAAGGAAGAACCAACCTCTCTGGAACAATCCTGATAGCCAGCCTTGTACCTAGACAGTCCAGGTTGTGCAAGCGAGCGCTGCCTTTGCAGATGACGTACCGTCAGCTCGAGTATATCCGCCTTCTCGAGTTTGCTGTGCTTGGTATTTTCGAGGCGCGCGCTGTCCAGTATGAGCGCCTTTAACGCCGCCAGCGACTGGTTTATCCGGGCTCGGCGTCGTTTCTCCATTAGCGGCTTGTTCGCCTGCAAAACCATGAAAACAGTTGCTCTTCCTCGATTCGTTCTTTATCGCTAGTCAATGCGACGCGGCATCGTCATCCGCGCGGTTGCATAACCGCCGCCGATGTAATACAATGGCAAAGCAGCGGTCTAACGACGAAAGTGCATCTAACCGGCTGGGAAATAGCTCAGCGACAGGATCGACCGCGGCGTCTGCGTCCTCGTCCCGCAAACGCGAGCGCTCGCGTAGAGAGGCCAGCCTCGAAAATAAAGAAGAGCTCGCGAAAGCGAAAAGCCCAGGCGCAAACAATCGACTGGCGCTCCGGCGTCGCCGTCTTTCTCGGCTGAAAATTAATTATCGGTCGGCGCGGAGCAGCGGCAAAGTTGCGCTCGGCGCGCGGAAGCAAAAGGAGAAGCTGGCTCTCGCGCGCGCGAAGAAAGCGGACGGCGGAGCCGAGAGAGATTCAAATAAGAGAAGCGCGCCGGCACGAGAGACGACTTGGCAAAGTGCCCGCCAGACGCGCCGAGGCCGTGCATCGCTCTCTCTCTCTCTCTCTCTCTCTCTCGCTCCCTTGGCGGTGTGCGTGGTTCTTCGAGCGATATCCCCGCGGGGCTGACGAGCGTCGACTCGCTCGCCGAGCTCGGAGGTTTCTCGCCGACCGAGAGATTTCTCGTGCGGTGAAGGGGGGGGGGGGGGATATCGTCGAGGCGGCGCACGCGGAACAATTAGGTGCGGCGCCGACAGGACGCGGGCACGCCAACGGCCGCTCGCGGTCTCTTTTTGAGAAAACACAAGATACTCCGCCGCGGCTGTCGACGTCGGCGCGCGTGCACGCTGTGGTTCGTGCGTCGCGGCGAACGCCACTTCTCTCTCTCTCTCTCTTTCTCGCCTCACCGCGGATTACTGCGGAGAAAGAGGCGGAATGCCGGGAGCCGTCGTTAGCCGCGCGTCGCCCCTTCGATCGTCGCCGTCGCGCGCGCACCCCCGTCGCTTCGCGCGCGGCCCCTCGAGAGGCCTGCTAACCCACAGAGAGAGAGAGTGGAAAGTCGCCCCCTCGGTCCAGCTCATTAAGTGGCGCGTGCACGTGCACCCGCGTATGTATTATATGTCTTTTCTGTCCCCCTCGGGCGGCCAGCACCGGCACGTGCTTGCTCCGCCACTACTACACGCATGTACACTCACAGCGTAGTCGCTCTCTCTCTCTCTCTCTCTCTCTCTGCAGGTGCGTCTAATCGGGTTATCTTCGCAGGCCGCTCTGGCGGGATATAGACAGCTCTTCACGCGCGCGCCTAAATGACGAAGGTCCTGGTTTTTTTTTTATTTTTTCGTTATGGACGAGGACGCCGGTGGATGATCGGTACTATAATTACGTGCGGTTTTCTTTTTTATTTGAGAAAGCCGCGTTGGGAGGGGCAGGGGGCTTTTGGAAAAGTTGACCCGCAACCTCGATATTTTGGCTATTTCTCAAAGCGAGACGGCGGGACAGGTTGAAAACGTAAGCAAGCCCGCAAGGAAGAGCAGCGATAGTATACTCACTCTGCGTCCGTCGGCGAGTTTGGGACCGGGGCTGGGCGTAGTGCAGGGGCTGGGGTTCGTACTGTCGTCCTCGTCGACGAACAGACGCTGCTGCTGGAGCGCTTGCTGATGAAGCCTGGCAACCGCCGCCGCCGCCGCTACGACCGCCGCCGCTGTGCTCGCTGCCGACTGCTGTGTGCTCGGCTTCTTACCGCTGCCGACGCTTCCGCTACTGCCGCTGCTCGACGACGATTTATGCTGTTGCGGTTGGTGCCTGGGCGAATGTACGCGAGCGGTCATCGTTATCGTTGCTCCGGCCGAGAGCCCCTGCTGCTGCTACTGCTGCTGTGCTGCAAGCTCAACAGGCTCAGCATCGCGCCAGTGTTGCAGCTTTGGAAGTCCGACCCACGTGCTCCGCGCTGAGACGCCTTGTGCAGCCTTGTCGATTGCAGCGATCACGGGCGAATCGAAATCTCTCTCCGGCCACAGCACACGAACACACGGGAGATCGGCACTGCGAGCGAGCTCGGTTTTTCGTTTGTTTGATTGTTTGTTTTTTTTTTTTCTATTTTCTCCCTTTCGTTTTTTGTTTGTCCGCTCGTTCGCTTTGGCAATGTACGATCGTGCACTGGGAGCGCCGGGCGAGAAATCGGCGCGAGCCGTGGATAATCGCGCGCGTAAACAAAAAAGCTTGCGCGCTGTGGTGGAGGCGATGTAGGTCGGTGTTGACGCTCGGAGCTCTGTCGACAGACTGACTCGTAGCGCGAGAGCGCGGCGGGGGGTGTACAAGCTCGACTTTGCCCCCCCCCCCCTCCTTCCACCTCTCTCGCTCTATCGCTGAGCGAGGCGGCGGTCCGTAACTCTCTCTCTCTCTCTCTCGCTTGCTCTTCTGGGCTGCACGCGCGGCACGTTTCACGGGAGCAGTTCACGCTCGCGCGCGTGCGGCACGCCGGAGGCGCTTAGCGCTCGAAGCCCCCCTCTACCCGCCCGCCTCCTATCCACCCGCTATACCCGTAAAAACGAGAAGAGAGAGATAGAGAGAGACGCCTATATAGGTATACTGCGGTCGAGCTTGAGTGCGAGGCGATGTCGCCGCGAGTTGCGGACGATTTTCTCTCTCTCTCTCTCTTTTTCACGGATGGATGCCGACAAGGTTGTTTTTTTTTTAGGCAATGGCTGAAAGGGCGATTACACGGCTATCATATTTCGAAGGTTTCGCGCTCAGTGTAATTCGGGATGCACGCCCGCCGCGACTCATTTCGCGGGCGCTCGTGGCAATCCACGGCAGCGGGTGACCTCCTCGCCGGGGACTGACGCCGTCGCGGGTCGCGCGCGTTCGAACGGTCCTCCCGGGAAATCGCGATCGACGTATATGCGCAGGGCAATCGAGTTGGACCGGGACGAGCCGCGCTCGGCCGAGCTTGACCGTCGCCGCTCGCGCAGCGTCGACGCGCGGAATTAAAAAAAAAAAAAAAAGCCGCACGCATCGATCTCCGGCAAAGGTGAATAAATAAAAATGAGAGAAAAGGGGCAAAAGCGTATCTCTCTCCGCTCGCGGCAGCATCTCGCATCTGAAATACGCGGCAGGCGAGCTTAATCTCTGGCTGGCTGGCAGCGGCAGCGGCAAAAAAAAAGAGAGAGAGAGAGAGAAGAGCGTAGCCCGAGAGGCGAGGCGAGAGAGCCGCGATATAGATAGACGACGAGGCGGCATTGCACACACAGCCAGCGCCGCTATATAGCGATGAGCCTGGCGGCAGCGCGTGCCGCCAAGTGCTCTCCCACGCGAGAGAGAGAGAGAGAGAGAGAGAGAGAGAGAGAGAGAGCGAGCGAGAGATATATAGCTATACGCCTTCCAACCAGCAGGTCTCTTTGTCTGCTCTCTCGCGCTCGCTCTGAGTTTCGTGGATTTCCTTTTTGCACGAACTGCTGCTGCTGCTTTTTTTTTTTTGCCGCTGCCGCCGCTGCTGCGGAGTAGAGTCGGAGAATTTTTTTTAATTTTTTTGCGGGATTGAATTTTTTTTCCCTTTCGGAGCTCCTTTTTTTTTTACTTTTCGTCGAGGAGGGTTGGATATTTCGACGTTAATGATTGACTATATGCATGCGAGGGTTTCTCGCGCTCAAGAGATTCGATAGCGTAGCGGAGGAAAATTAAAGTTTATCGAGTGAAATAATTGGCGCTCGAGTTGGTGAACGTTGCAAGTTGAGTGACCGTTCGGCAACCGAAGTAGATGATTCGACTGAGAGAATAGAGGTGCGTTGTCATTGTTGTTCTAACGGAGTGAACGCGTCGGTTGCCCAAGATAACCGCGTGGCGCGTAGAATGGCAGGCGCGAAGCCTCCGAATTCGAAAAGTGCACGCGCCTCCGACTCGTGAAAATCCGTCCGGCAAGTCGCCAACCGTTCGGAGCCGACAGCGCCGGACTCGCGAACAGCAAGAACCAAAAGAAAGCGCGCAGCCTGTAAAACAATCATCGACAACAAACAAGCCAAGTCAGGGACTCGATGATAAAAATTCAGTAAGTCATCCGCCTCGTCTATTTTCCTCCAGTCGCGTGCGTCGCGCGTCGACATTCCAGCGGCGGCGACCGATTATCCGCGAGCGCGCGCGCGCGCGCGCGCGCAAAAACGCTTCCGTTCGTCCTTGCCTGCGGACAGCCTCGAGGCACGACTGCCTTGCGAAATCTCGTTTGCATTGCCGGCGCCTCGCGCGCGCGTTTTTCGGGCTCGCTCGCTCTCTCTCTCTCTCTCTCTCTCTGTCTCTCTCTCTCCTTTGTGTTTGTTTGCTCGCGTGCTTCGAGGCTTCGAGCTATTTATCGCGCTCGTCGCGCAGCCGACGGCGCGACAATCTCGTCTCGGCTGGGATTATTCAGCCGTGCGGCGTTCGCGCGCCATCGATGTCGCGCGCTTTTAATCTTTCACGACGTTAATCGTATATCCGGGAAAAAGAAAAGGGAAGAAAAAAAACATCAGCTTGCGCAACGCGACGCCTTATCCGGCCCGGTTAATCAGCGAGAAAGAAAATAGCTCGTTTTAGCGGCGCCGGATTACATCTGCGCCGCGCGCGCGCGAAATCAAGAATTTATGAAAGCCGCGTGCGCTCCGCGCGGCTGAAAAATTCACGGCGGCGAGCGAGAGACGCCGCGCGCTGAATATTCAAGCTCCGGCGTGGCGGAAAAAAAAAAACGAACGATCGATCGGCTATACAGTGAGCAAGCGAGAGAGCGAGAGAGAGTGAGAGGAGGAAGGAAAAACAACCGATTCGCGGCGCGACGGCGATTGTATATATACCTTAGCGAAGGCGGCCAATTAGCCGAAACGAGCAACTTGCTGAAAATTTTAGAGTTTGGAAGTTTTGCGAGGTCAGGATGTCTTGAGGTTTGAGAATATTTTTAAAGGTGGCAATTTGCTCGGTTTCATTTTGGGAATTTGCCATCAAAGTTTTTTAGAGTAGTATCGGGGTGATGGAGTCATACTTTCTTGTTGTTTTCCAATTTTGCGGAATTAAAAGTCATCATTACTGTTCAAATCTCAGGCAACTTCGCTTGAAAATAAGAAGCGCTTTGGTCGGTATAATTGGAGTTTGTCCCGCTCATAGCCGCCTAGGCAAGTCAGTAAGATCTCGATCTTCTTTTGGAAATGTCCAATATTTTATTACTTTCGTAGCTACAAATATTACCAAGACAAGCTACGAAGTAGCTTGGCCTAAGATTTATTTGATAGCGTCGAATTGCCCTTTCCCTACACGTTTGACGCATTGCAAACAGCAGCCCAAGATTTTCCACAATGCATCTCGGCAAATTTGATGTTCCCCATCTAATCAACGACGACGACGCTAAAAAACGCAATTTTCGTTACTTTGCTGATTAAAATTCTCCAGAAAACCTCGATTACAAAGCTGTCATTAAAAAAATTCAGTTAGCTGAAGCCTCATCGGAGATAGCACCCGACACAAAGAAAAATCGTCCACGCAGCACGGAGCCAAGCGAAATCTCTACTCGTCGAGTCCTCTGAAAATAAAAGCGCGGCGGCGAAGTAGAGAGAGAGAGAGAGAGAGAGAGAGAGAGAGAGAGAGAGAGAGAGAGAGAGAGAGAGAGAGAGAGAGAGAGAGAGAGAGAGAGAGAGAGAGAGAGAGAGAGAGAGAGAGAGAGAGAGAGAGAGAGAGAGCAGAGCAATTTCGGGGCGCCTTCAGCGCGACTCGCGACGACGGCGCAAGGCCGTCGCTGTTGCGTGCGAGGCATTACGCCGCTCATTAACAGCCTTCTCTCTCTCTCTCTCTCTCTCTCTCTCTCTCTCTCTCTCTCTCTCTCTCTCTCTCTCTCTCTCTCTCGCTCGCTCTGCAAGCAAGCGGCGGCTTCTCTGCCTCGTTTTTTCTTCGTCGCTTTTTTCCTCCTCCACCGTCGTCAAGCCGACCCCAAAAGCAATCTGATGCGGAGCGCTTTGAAGCCACGTTTATCGGTGGATTAGCCTTTGCTCTCGCTGACTTGACTCCGGTGCAAAGTTCTTTCTTTTTCTTTTGCGCTTGCGGTCGCTGAGTCTGAAAGACACGATTATTTTATTTTATTTTATTTTTTTGTTCGAAAATTTCTTCCTGCTTGTGCGTTCGATAAGCAAAGTCGTGGGCTTATTAGCCGCGACGTAAATAATGTTAATTTAGTTGTTGTCTTTTTCGAATTAGGGTAAAAATCGGATAGCTTTTTCGTTGTCTTCAAACCCAAACGAATGTAATTTGGTCGGGTAAATAACGTCTCGCTTTCAATAAACTCTTTGCTCCGAAACATCTTCGAGCTGTCTCACGCAATGAAAAAAATAAGAAAGAAAATAAAAGAAAAGAGGCCAGCTGTTTTCCTCGCAAGCTCGAACGAGCACGAGTACGTCGCATCGGAGCAAGCGCATCTCTCTCTCTCTCTCTCTCTCTCTCTCGCGCGCGCGCGCGCGCCACACGGCCGACGATCGGCGAAGGAAAAAACCCGTCGTATAATCTCGGCGTAGCAGCATCGCCGAGCGCGTGATGCGCGAGCGGAGGTATTATAAGAAAAGAAAGAAAAAAAGGACAAGCAGCGCGCGCCGCGCCAGCTGAGAGCGGCGTCAACAGAAAGGCAGGGCGCGGGCGCTGAAACGAGAGAGGAGAAAATAATTTCGTGAGAGGGAATCCGCGATAAGGACTCGCGCGTATACGAGGCTGTACGTGCGGACGACGCACACACCTCGGCGGCGCGACACGTCTGACGCGGAGCGGCGCAACTCTCTCGCCACGACGACTTTTGCTGACGAGGCCGTGCTCGCAATTACGGCTTTCCGCGGCGATCCAGCTGTGCCGTGCCTGCGGTTAAGCGCCACCGTCTATAAAATATTATCGGTCGATTCGGTGTGGCGATCTGCATCTGTCGCCTCGGTGCGAAAATCCGCGAGCGTCGTGCGCTAGCTTTTCCAACGCTCTCGCAAAGTCCACGAAAATGCCTAGCTATAACGGCTGACCGCTGCTGAATCATTTCTCTCGAGTGCTATCCACACCCCACTACGGAAACCGAATCGCGAGAAATATATTGCTAAAAGCGAACGAGTACCGCCCCTTCCCACGCGAAAAAAAAAAGGAATCAACGTGGCCGTCAATGCAAAAACAAAAACCTTCCAATTTACGAAATTTCGTCTCCAGCGCTCGCGCACGCGCCGCGCGCACGTCAATCAACGCCATTTGAAAAAGAAAACATCCAGTTGGCTCACAAAGTGCCGCGCTCGTGTG